TTGCCCGGTCCCCCGTGGTCGGCACGGCCGGGAGGCCGCCCCCCCCGCCCCGGGACGTTGTTATGGGAAAAGATGCAAACGTCGCGTGCCCGACGGGGGCATTTCCCGAAGCTCCCGCCCCCGGCTCTGGCAGGGAAATTGTGGAGAATCGGGAAGATGGAAGCGCGGCGCCGACCCGCGGCGGTCCTCTCCCTTTCACCAAGTTTTCGGGTCCCCACAGCGCCTTCTGTTTCTTCTCCCCCCCCCACCCCGCAAAACCTTGGAACAGAGGCGCTCTCTGGGGGGTGGTCCTGCGTGGGGTCAGTTCAGGGCTGCTTCGCTAGGACACAGGCGTCATTTTTCAGCCCGTCTAATTTAATATTAATAATTAGCTGTATAGCACACTTCTGAAATGTAATTCTCAAGCGCTTGTCTTGATCAGTGAGCTTGCTTTTTTTTTTTTTTCCCTCCTTAAAAATAATCTCTTATCTTAGTTGGACTTTCAGTTAAATTCTCTCTTGACCCAATCTGGAAAATAGGAAGCTGCCCTGCGCCGGGAGGTCTTGTTTTCTGCCAGTTAGCAAGACCGTGAAACTGTCTTATTTTTAAAGTCATACTCTGCTTTTTGCTTTCTTCGGACAGTGTTGATGTGCCGAGGGAAGGCGACGCAAGATTTTAAAGGTCCAGATTGTCGCTTTGTAAATTTTAAGAAGGGAGAAGCGGTGTACGTATATTACAAACTCATAGGAAAATCAACGGAGCTCTGGGCTGGAAGTGTAAGTACTGTAAAGCAGTTGTTCTGTTTGCTCTTCTTGGCGCTTTCTGTCGGTCATCATTTTTCCTTCCTTTTGCCTCACTGGAGAACACTTAGGGTTTTGAACGTAGCTAAATAACATAATGAATGCCATTTTGTCTTGAGACCCGTGTGAAATGGGATGTGGTTTGATCAAGCCTAAGGCATTAAGTGCTGTGAAAAATGGGCGATGCTGATGTGTGCTAAAAACTGTTAGAAAACTGCCCTTGTGTTGGAACCCCCCCATTGCAGCGCTGTAAGCCGTGGCTGCTGAGGCTGCTTGGAAGCTGAGCCTCCCTTCCCATCTAGGGAAGCTTAAGCCTGCGCTCGTGTTTACCCCGACGTGGTCTCATCCTGCGCTCTGTGTAATCCTGCTAAAAATCGTTCCATGCCCATGCTTTAATCACGTTTCTCTTCTTAATATTCAGCTGCTGCCTTCCCCTTTTTATCTAAGCTGCATGCAGAATTGGAGGGGAGAAAAAAGTAGTAAAACTAAAAAGAATTAAGGTAAATTTGACTTTTAATAGGTCTGTCTCTCTCTCAGCTTTAGTAACATTCTGTAGCAGCTGGCAGAGTAGTGGCCTCAGCTGAGTCGTCATCTTCTTTGGGCAATCGAGAGAGGGTTAGTGGGAAAGGAGGGTCCCCATACTTGCAGTTATTTCGTAGAAAACTCCTTTCTGCTTTCACAATAAACACTTTATTTGCCTGACAGCAACAGAACTGAGATACACTGGAGGAAGAGCAGGTTTTGTGGTCTTCCCTTGAAAATCCTGGCAGTCTGGGGGTTGCTTAGACCTAGTCCCTGTTGCCCCCTCCCCATGCTTCCCCTACATGACTTTTTGTGTCCGAATTGTTTACTTCTACCTCCTTTCTTACTCTGGCCTCGTACGAGGGATAGACATTTGCCTGCGACAGTGGTCTGGGCTGCTCGAAGCCACACCTGGGTGTTGACTGTGGGACTAGTGGTTTAGTGAAAAGCAGGATGTATCACTTTCTCTGACCTGTTTGGGGTGGGTGTGGGCAGCCAAGCTCTCAGCAGGAGCTGAATCCAATTAGAATGATACAGAAGCAAGCAGAAAACTGTAGCACGTGGTTAAAGAAGAGTTTATAATTGTATCATGCTGGTAATTCCCTTCTGACATGTACTGTACCATAAATAATCTGGTTAATTAGCCGGTACAGGTTTCCAGGGCTGCCAGTTCTTGAGACGCGGAGTAGCAACGTGGGGCCAATTTTGCATCTTCTAACAAGGTGTAACGCGGGCAGCAAGATCAGACAGCAGGTTTAAGGTAATTGCTGAGTTAATATTCAGTTTAACTGTGCACTGATAGGAAGCTTGTGCAACAGTTAGGTGTGTCTTCAAGTTAAAAGGATGCTTGCTTTGAGTTTTTAACAAGTGAAAGCTGAAGTTGGCAGGTCTAAAAGAATTGCAAAACGCCACTTTTATTTGTTGCCATTTTTTAATTGTGTTACACTGTTTTCTGTGTTTCTTGTAGGGCCGTGATGACAGACTAATCCCTTTCAGTTGGTGGCTATAATCCTTATTTCTTTTTTCCCCTGTTTGATTTGACTTCTGCGTGAGTCGTAGTACCGCGACCACCAGCTTGCCAACGCTGCAGCGGGGTCAGAGGTGCCTGCCCTTGCATTTTGAGTAGGGCACTGGCATGTCTGACCCTGTCCCTGACTTGCAGATAAGAGCCGGGGTCTCTCCTCGTGCAGCATGTGACTTCCCATGCCAGATTTGGCTGGGCGACTTGATTTATGCAGACCAGCCGTGCCTGCTGTGTGCAGGCTTGGAGCTAGGGGGAGGCTGTTGCTCGCTAATTAAAAACAGGCTACCTAGTGAGGTCTGCGTTCAAAGAAATTCCAATGGAAGGCATGTTGCTTTCTGCCGCAGCCCTTTTGGGATCAGCTTGCGTGACTTACGTGTGCTCGCGTGTGTCATTTAATCTTGTGCATCTACCCTGCTGCCTTTTTCCATTTCCCAAAGTTTTTGGGGAAAGTGTTTCTCAGGGCATGATGGAAACCATGAAATCGAGGGATAACTGGCCCTCTGATCTTTAGATTGGGACAGAGGTTAGGGGAATGTGTGTATGAGAAGCTTCAACTACTGCAACCTGGGGCTTATCTCAAACAAGTTGTAAATACAAGCTCTAATCCCGCAATCGATTTTGAGGAGCCATGAGAATTACAGTAGTATTTTTGACCTGAAGGGAGATGATCTGATAAGAAAGGAGCCTTTCACCAAGGTTGAAAAATCTACAGGCATTGGGTCTGGGCTTTATTTGCCTTTGCTTTTTTAATTCACTCCACCCTTTTCAAGCCATTGTTGATATTTTTTGCCCTGTGCCAGCAAACATGCTGTATTTTAACAAAATAGATCCTTTATTTTATGATCCCAGTCTTGTATGTTTTATTGCTTGCAGAGCTCCCATTGAGCTCAGTGAGTATTTTGCATGTGAAAAAATTCTGGAACCCAGCTATAATATATATTCTATACATTATATGGCATGTAGTTTTTAGCAGAGCTGTCTAAACCTCATTAATATAGCAAAGCCAAATGCTTGGACAGTATTCTATGACCATTATTTAATAGTGATTTTATGTTATACATTTCACGAATACTTCAGATCCAGGAAAATACTTGATTTTTTTTTTTTTTTTTTTTTCCCCCAAAGCCGAAAGGTGGAGCACATCTGGTACTCTCATTGGCCAATGCACCCTGCCCTGCTCTAAAACTACTTTCTTCTTCAGCATCCACCTCGCATCGTTTGCACTGTGAAGTTGTGTTATCCAGACTTTCCTCCTGTGCATTTCTCCTGCACTCTGCCCCCATCTTTAGCAGGGTCCAGAACTCCAAAGCTACTTCAGATAACTCAGGTGAAAGCCGCTGCTTTTTAACGAAACATTTCAGCAAAGACACTTTAAATTCTTGCTGCAGAAGATTGTTATTTTATCTTGCAGCAAAGGGCTGAAGTTTTTTGCTTTGACTCAAGGTTGAGAAAACTATTTCTGACCTCCTGTTACAAGAAATGGAGTTGGCTGCAGATCATGGTTGGTTGGCTTTTGGTTTGTTTTCAAATCTTTTACATAGGGTAGTAGACAGGAAGACAGGTGGGGTAAATTTAAGGTAAGACAGAGTATGTCTTGGAGGACTTGGAGGATCAGGGAATTTGTTCCTATTGTTTCTGTGAATCTTAACAAAGCCCGTGTTCAGAAATGGCAGACCAAACCGACTCCCTTCCTTGACTGATACTCGGCAGTTTTAGGTACCTCCGATGCCAGTGCTTTCGGCATGTGGGCTTTGAGATTAAAACCGTCTGAACATCTTGTTTCCCAGCTGTCTGTTTTCTGTCACTGAGGTAGGTGGTGTGAGAAGGTGGTTTCTTGGTCGACGGCGGGTCAGTGAATCTGCTGCAGCTGGCTGCCACACGTGGGCACTGGTGGGGACAGATGCTGTACACGCAGCTACGCTGTTTGTCCACCCACAGCACTTTAGCTGGGAAGGGAGTGGAACTGAAGGATGTGCTTTTTTCTCCTGTATTTACTTGGCATTCATAATGCCTTTCCTCTGTCTGTAGAGAATGAAGGCTGTTTCCTTTATTTGCACAATGGGGCATTTTTTCCCTTACAAGAGAGGACTTGTAGGGAGAGGAGCAGATGAAATCTCGGGCATGCAGATTCCGTATGGCTCATAAACCACGTAAGTGGCAAACTGGGTCACTGCAGAGGACTTGTATGGTCAGCAGCTTGGATTATACTAAATGAGTTTCAAATTGTGATGCCTAATTCTAATGGTAGTCACGGAGATTAGTCTGTAAGGAGGCTACTTAGAAGCTTTGGCTTTTGTTTTCAGAAAGATCATTTAAAACTGGAATAGAAGCTTGTAGAGAGAAGCAAGCCAATTTAGAATGAAACTGTAGTACACTGCACAAGGACAAGCTTTTGATTTGACTTGCCTAGTTTAACTTTGCATGCCCAATAATAAACCTGCATACATTCTCTTCCCATACGAAAGTATCTCTATTTACAAAAGGCGGGGAGGTAGTAGATTTATTTTTTTATATATGTATAACTAACTTGAGAGATCTCAGCTCTGGAAGGTAAGATTTGAACGAGAAAAAGTTAAGAAAAAGAAGCCCCATAATGTATCAGTGCCTATTTACCGTATACAATTTTCCTTTTTTTGCCATTGTAAGTCCAGAGAACTTCAGGTTAGGCGAGCCTATTTCAGTGATATCAATGTAATTATAAATATATCTATACATCCCTAATTATTTTGACGTAACTGTCTTCCTTTTTAATTTGATCTTTAACTGAGTGCTCTTTCCAAATAAACTTTTCAAGAAAATTGGCAACTGTTGTCTTCCTCCTATAACAAAACATTGAGAAATGACCAACACTTCCCCACCCCGGATATTTTGGTTGTCTAGGAACTCTGTACCTTTCTAGGTGTGTCCACCGGGCTCTAATTGCCTGGATTATCTAATCTGCGCAGTGATAGCATGCTATTCATATTGACTTCTTGACAGCCCCTGTCAGAACTCTCAAGCGAGAGCATTACTGTGTAGATCTTATCCGCTGAGTGATAAGAGAGATTCTTGTCTTCCACTGTTTGCCTTGGCTTAGCACGCTGGCTTGTTTGAAAATAGCCATCTGCAACTGATTTTTGCTGGTGTTAATCACTGAAGAGTGGCAATGCATTTGCAGAAGGGATATATTTTCCACACAAGTTTTAAAATAGATTATTACCTCAGGTACAATTTTGCATTTTCCTAAAATCCGCTTTAAGAAATATATTTTTTTTTTCCTTAAGCTACGAAGTGAGCATATTTCAGGCTATAATATTCTGCATGGATGTAAGTCTTATTAGTCAAAGATCCTCTTCTGCTTACTACTTGAGAGAATACTTGAGGCATATGCCTGTGAGAGCGCACAATAGCAGTTAAAGTACGGGAGCCAGAATGCTTGGGCTTCACTCCCAGCTCTCCCGACAATCTGTTGTAAGTCAGGCTTTAAAATACGGAAAGTAAAACTTGGCAACTTCACAAAGGTGTTGTGAAATCGAAGTATAAAACCTCAATGAAAACTCTTGCATAAACAAGGCATTGCTAATATTTTTCTTCTATTCACTGTGTTAAAACTTCATCTAGAAATACTTGAGTTTGACACGTTTGTTACTAGTGTCTGTAATTAGGATTTTAATGTAGTCCCATGATTTCAAAAGCTTCTTTACTGCTTTTTGTTTGCTTGTGTTTGTTTCTGACAGGTTGGGAGTGATTTTGGATATTTTCCAAAGGATTTACTTGAAATAAATCATAATTATTCCAATGAGGAGCTAGAGTTACCAACAGATGTAAGTCTTCTTTATTTATTTATTTATTTTAATTGGGCTGCTTAGTGTTTCTTACCTTGTCATTCAGTAAACTCCCTGAGGAGGAGAATGGGAATATCCACTGATCCTTAGTTACCTTTTGTTAGTAAGCACATACGTGTTGGTGGGGCGTGGAATGTTTGTGCAGATATGTACGTGGGTGGGTGTGTAAGCATCAGCCCAAAACGTGGGCACTGATCTTTCTTTTCTTGAATATTCTGGTTTTCTTCTAACAAAATCTGTTTGGATCGAGCTCTAGAAATGCTGCTAGCTGGCTCGCACATAGGCTATTTGGTATGTATTCAGAATTATTTCTTTTCCCAAACTTTAGAATTTTAAAGTATTATCAGAAACAAACAAAACCCAATACCCTTTGATTCTAGAATTGGTCCTTCAACCCTCACACACATAAATGACTTTCATGCACTAATAGTAACTCCAGAGTTGTGCGAGTAAGGCCTGTTTGTGGATGCAGCTTCAGACCCTTATGAAATGGTATTCAGTGGCTTGCACTGCTGTTTAATTTATTTTTCAGAAATTGTGTGACAGGCAGCTCCTGCTTGAAGGAAGTGGTCATTTGAGGAGAGATCAGCTAGAAGAGACTGGGACAAACAAGCTTAGTGACGCTTGTTTTCTTCTCCTGGCTGGCATTCAGCAATACACTTGCCCTTAATTCAGGATGTACATGATGAGTAAATTATAATACTGTCAAGTGCATTGCTGACTTCCAGTTTGTTCCTCACTAGGAGGTCTTTGACAGGGCTCCCATGAGCTTCATATTTAGGTTTTTAAGAGTCCTTGGGCAAAACTTCCACTGATTTCAAAGAGAGTTTTGGTTAAGGACTCAGGGAGTTAATTCTGCACGATTAATATAATTTACTTTGCTGTTGCATCTCTCTCTAATCAACTGGATGGATTTGGCCTCATCACTGTGATAAAGAAAATAATATTTGTGACCACATCTTGTTTTTCATTTCAGGAAACAGACTTTATTTGCTTTGATGGCGGAAGGGATGATTTTGATAATTACAATGTGGATGAGCTTTTGAAGTCATTGCAAGAGACAACAGCAAATGAAGGGGAAACTGAATCAAGTGATCCAGGGACAAAACCAGCTGAAGGAACTGAAAGGGATGAGGAGACTGAACAGGTTGATACAGTGATGTCCCCTGATGCTTTGGAGACAGACAATCTTGAACTAAGCACAGAAGAAGACAAGGAAGCCCTCGCCATCACAGAGGAAGTAGACAGTTCTCTTACAGAAGGAACTGAAAATACTGGGGGAGACTCCAGTGTCAATAGTCACGAAGAAAACTCTCAGGGAGATCAAATTGCACATGAGCACTTGAAAGGCACGCTACACGGGAAACTAAAAGGGCTAGAAAGTGAAAATACCAAAAACACTAGTATTCCTCAGGGTGAAACCAGTCAACTTGACAAAGAGAGTGAAGAAGTCAATGCCTATACACTTTTAAACAGAGAGCTCTCTGTGAACTTGAAAACGAAATTTGGCTCAACTGGTGATGCTGTTGTATCAGACGATGAGGTGACTCGCCTTGTTACATCGCTGGAAGATGATTTTAATGAAGATTTGAGCATTAATGTTCACGATGCAGAGGAGGAGACGGACTTTGCAGACCAGTCTGAAGAAATCCCTTTGCTGTCTTTTACGGCAGAGGAAGAAACTACATCCCCACCAGATTTAGATGATGAGGAAAATGATGACATGGAGTCACAAAATCATGAACTTGATGAAGATGCAAAGGGTGCTACAGAGCTAAATAACCAAAGAGACAATGAGGAAGAACATGATTCAGATGCATTCACTCTTAAGGATGCCTTCAGTAAGAGCAAGAAGTTGGGTGACGGTGTAAGTGTGGACAGGTCTGAATCTCAGCAAACAAAAGAGAAACAGGATGAGGTGATGCTAATTAATAAAAGAGAAGCACCAGCAACAACTCAACCTGAGGATCTCTCCAAAGAACTCCTTAGAAAGGAACCTGTAGGTAGAGGTGATCTGGGTTCAAAAGAAAAAATAAACACAACTGAATGGTTTGAAGAGGAGCTCATGGTTGGTGGAACCGAGTCACATACTGAAGAGCTGAAGAGTACAGCTGTGCCTGATCCTCATGTTTTGCCTAGTCCAGGAGATGATCTGGAGTTCAAATCATCAGTTAAAAGCAAGCAAGATGCTTTAAAACCACCTGTTGTTGATATCAACAAAAGTCCAGAAAGAGTGCCGCTTGCTCAAATACAGAAAGAGGAGAAAATGTTTGAGGATGACACCTTGGAAGAGGTCTTGGAAAGTGATTTAAAGCACAAAAAGCTATGGGAGAAAACAAAGGAGAAAGGAAGAGCAGAGGACAAGCCTTCTGTTGATGTTCCAGCCAAACCAGTGGAAGAGGTAAAAAATGCATCTCAAAGTCACTTAGGAGATACTGACCTCTTAAAAGAGAAACTGGAGCATGGAACTCCCCCTATGGGGAAAGAGCTTCTAAGACATGAAGAAGATTTGAAACGAACAGGGGAGACCGATCACGAAAATCAAAACCCCTCCTCTCTTAAGAAAGAACCTGAAATGAAAAGGGGAGTCATGAAAGAAACCCCTGCAGGGGAGGGAAATCCAAACCATAGAGGAGCTGTCGAGCAACCTAAGCCATGGGAAAACGAGACTGAGTATTCAGAGGCAGATATGAAAGAAGAGCTTTCAAGAAATCTTGGCAAGATGACAGCATTTGAAGAAAGCGTTGAGAAAAGTTCCCCTGAAGAAAAATCAAAAAGCACTACACAGAATACTAATACAGAGAATCTTACTCCACAAGGAACTGCTCGTACTGAGGATGCCGATTCAGACAGAAATCTTGGTGCAAATTTAGCTAAAGAAAGAACACTAAGACCAGAATTGCAATCTGAGGAGCCAGATGCTGAAGACAACCCTGACCTGAAACAAGTAGAAGAAGAGCTACTGGAAGATGAGAATGCTGCAAGTGCAAAGCTGTCGCAAGCAAGGGCTGCAAATGTACAGGGCAATATGCTACATGTTAAAAGTACAAACCCTGAATTAGAAATACTAAGTGAAGCTGTTTCGGGAACTGTAAATCCTACTTATGAAACCGAAAAGGAAACAAACTTCTTTTCTAAGGAGGCTAAAAGAACGATCGGCATACAAGATGCAAGCGAGACTGGGAACAAAGAGGTTGGCATACCAGTGAGTGAAGATGCTAAACTGGATGAAATAGAGCATGTTATGGGAGATGATGAGGAGTCTTCTGAAGCTGAGGAACCGTCAGATGTGGAAGAACAGAATTTCCAGTCTCCTGACACAGAAAACTACAATGACTTTAACCAAAGGGAAGATCATTTCCCAGAGGGCGTTTCACAGGAAGACTCAAAAGGGGTGCAAAATTTAGAGCATACAAGAAATGACCACCAGCAACCTGCACATTTCCCCAGCCCTGCTGACAGCTCAACAGCCACAAATGACACTGTAACAGAATTCAGCGAGTCTGTGAGGCGGCTCACAATAATCAGAGACTTTCTCGATGAAAAGCGTGTAATACGTCTGCAAAAGTACCTTGGGCTTCAACACGTGGTTAGGATAGAAGCCATGTTTCATGACATGAAGGTAGAGATGGAGCTTGCTCGGAAGGCAAGCCACAATAACGAAGAGATAGAAAAAGCTTTGGACCAGATACTTGAGTTTTCAGAATCGAGCATTATGGATGCCGTAGGAAAAGTTCTGGATTCCAGAGTGGCAGAAAATGAAGAGGAGGTGGTGAGGGAGATGGATTTGTATGATGAGGAGAGTGCACTGATGGATGATATTCAAGAATTAATATATTCTCTAAGGAGTAAATATTCGTCTGCTAGTGAGAGTGTCCCACTCGCATCTATTCCAGAACAGGAAGATGATCAGCTGCATGGTCAAGGTAGGATATTAAACCAGTGATAAATAGATGAAATAGATGTAAAACCCTATCCCAGACAACACTATGTAACCCAGAGGAGCTTTAGGAGGAGGGTGAGGGAGCAGGATTGAAAGAGGCCCCTGTGGAATCTGCTGGGATTTTGCTTATTTTTAATGCATTTTTTTGGCACTGTGATGGGTGTCCCAGGGACAAACCCTGAGAAAAAATGTTGAGCTCAGCATGTTTGTTCTTATGGGCCAGGTTTTGTGTAAGGTAAGTGGGATCCATGCATGGATGTGGCTAGAAAGAGCCATTCAGGTCATGTCTGGACCTCCTCCTCAAGAAATAGGGATTCATATACTTACATTCATAATGTGCTGAATTTTCTGGAGGGTTTAGAGCAGTCTCTTTTTCTGAGCTAGCTAGCACCTAATTATGAGAGATCCAGTGATTAATGCAAAGTTCAGGCACTAAATCTATGCACCTAAAATCTCAGGTGACCCTATTATCGTATTTTTGCCCACATTCATAAAAGAGTGCGTAAGTAGAAATCCTGAACAATCAGATCTTTTGATGGGGGCAGAACCAGCAGTAGAGTCTGCTGCAAACTTGCTGGTTTTTTTCTAATCAATGTGCAAGGTGGTAAGATGTGTTCTTAGCAAGGCTTCTTTTACAGTAGTACATGTTGAGTATGTGATTTCTGATAAAGTCAAGAAAAACGAAAATATTTCACCTTGCAATATTTCATTGCAAGGTCAGTAGTTGATACCCTGCATAAATTTGATACAAACATTTAATTAGATATTACTTAAAGTTGATTGAGAATATATTGGAAGCAATACACAAGCTGATGTGTTTAAAAGGGAAAGCTTTGTCAAAAGCAGTATTTCCCTGGAGACAGCTGTGGGTAAGAAATACACATTAGCTCAGTGCTTAATTTGTATCTCCCTGTCTGTCGCAGATGGTGCAAAAAAGGATGAATATGACAGAGTTTCCATCAGAAACCCAAATGCCATTGATGAGAGCAATCGGGAATTTCAGCAGCTTGAAGATAAGAGGCCAGAACAGCCTACTGAGGAGGAGGAGAGGGCTGTTAATGTTCCACCTGAGCATGAAGAGGCCAACTTCTTGGATAACAGAGAAGCTGAAGAAGGGTACGATAGCAAAAGAGGATCGCTGCTGGAAGATACTTCCTTTGGGTCAATTGATTCAGGACAGAGCGCCAGGGAAGACACTGCTGCAGGTAACCTTTTGGAATTGGGTTATTTTGTTCTTTTGCTCTTAAAGAGGAGCATGGTTGAGTGGGTTTTAGGCAAATACCAAGGTTTTTCACTAGTATGTTATTCGTGTGTTGCTGTAATCCTAACAGCTTTCACTGATTCGTGACAGTCCCTCTAGTGGCAGCATTGTCTCGCTACCACGCATCTCAGCAGAGAGCTTTTTCTGTTACCTTTTTGTGCTATAGAAATAAGGAAAGTTCTCCTGTAAGTGTCATAGTCAGAGCTCTGTGCTCAGGCTGGTGGATCATGTCTCAGGATGGTAGTGGATAAAGAGCAGAAGTCACTGGAAGCATAGTCAGCCCAGGTTTCCTCCTCCTTGTGGTGGGACTGACAGTCTGTTAAGCTGTAGAACCCCGTGCTCTCTTTTTTCACTCTCTTTTATCTGTGACTCTAGGCTATATTACTTTCCAGGAAAGACTGAGTGTAGCTTCCCTCAAGCAGTTCAATAATTTCTGGCTAAGGTGTTTGTTGGAGTAGCAGAAATGTTTGACTCTGTTCTGCTGAGGCTTCCTCCCTCTGGAGCAAGTGTGCTGACCTGTGCTGGCTCGTCATTATGCCAAGGAGGGATCCTATTACTGTCATCTTCCCCAGCTCTGTTTTGGCATGAAACTACCTTTGACTCCATTCTTGGTGCTAAGCTCAGCTTTGGTGTTCTGCATTGACCTCTGATTACACTTAATAAATCCATCTTCACTGAGCATTTAGAAAAAACTCAGGCACATCTTGCTTAGCTTTTGTATGCTACTGAGGTACCGCACCATCCCCATAGCCAAGCACTTCTGAGCAGCTTCTAAGTTCTGAGGGAAACTCCAGGTGGGACACAAAGATACCTGATGAATTTTAAAATGTCTGGTGGATTACTTCTGTGGTTAAGCAGTCAGATGTTCAGTTATATTTTAGACAACCTTCCATTCCTTCCTTAATGGTGGTTAAATGCTGTTTGCTAGGAATTCCTCTGAGGAATCTAGAAGCGCTGAGAAGAACCAGGGCAGGTGTGTGTAGGACCACGGGTCAGGGAAGCTGTTCCACAACGTAACAAGAGGCTGAGTGGGTGGTTATTTGAGCCTGCTAACCTGAACTCATGGCAACAGTAGCAGTGAGAGGAGGCAGGTAGAAGTAAAGATGGTTTAAAGCTTATGCCATACTAACAGTGCTGTAAACTTACTAGATGTAGGCTTACTGATTAGGAATTGAAGAGCACATGCATTTGTATTTGTTGTTGACTCGCTGCTGAAGGAGTTGTACGTCCTCTGTCTGAGAGGCTGGCTTGGCAAAGTGCCTTTGTGTATCTGCGTCCCTCTCTGCGGTGCCTTTTCTAAAGCAGCCTGTGGAATACCGCTCTCTTTTCCAACGACTTTTGCCTCTGTCTTCAATGCCCTGGAGAAGCGGGGAACATAATGCATGCATTTGTATTTGTTGTTGACTCGCTGCTGAAGGAGTTGTACGTCCTCTGTCTGAGAGGCTGGCTTGGCAAAGTGCCTTTGTGTATCTGCGTCCCTCTCTGCGGTGCCTTTTCTAAAGCAGCCTGTGGAATACCGCTCTCTTTTCCAACGACTTTTGCCTCTGTCTTCAATGCCCTGGAGAAGCGGGGAACATAATGTGAAATATCGCCTAAGATGCCGCAGAAACCGCGGGGGGAAAAGAA